GACTTCGATGATATTATAAGACATTGTAAATTTGTTATTTGTTTAAAATAATGTCTTATTTTTTGAATTCGGTCAGTGTTTAAAAAATCACCGATCTGTTTTTTTAAACCTTGATGTTCTATTTTTTCTTACAGTTGTAAAATATATATTTTAAATTAGATGATATTATAAGATACTGCATCCATGATAATTCTATGATTCTTCTTTTGTGTGATTTAAATTTAATAGTTAACATAAGTTCATACAGGGAAATAACATCTCAATAGTCACATATTAATGAAAAAAATGAAAGTTAATAATGTAGCACCCCCATTTTTTATTGGATACCTAAAAAGCAAAATTTATAATGATTTTTAATAATAAAAATTTTATTTTTTTATCCTGCCGAACTGCTGATTCACCAATCGAGATGGGTTTCTGGGGTGCCCGATCTGGAGCAGCGATCCATTTTTTAAACCACTGGCTTTATTCAAAATTTTGTAGGACAAAACCCTTACAATATTGTTAAAAAAAAAAAGACAAAAAAAAAGAAGAGAAAACAAAAAGGAAAGATAAAGAGATAGCTCATTTGGGCCGAAGCTCAGGGCATCACTACCTGAAGCGGATTTACTTGGTTATCCTACTCACCTTTCTCTTGATAGAGGCAAGGGTTTTTTCGCATGCTTGACCTCTCCCCTATAAAAAGTCAAGCATGTTCTGATCTGCCCTCATGGCGAAATCTCTCACCAATTCTTGGAGCCAGGCAATTTCTTCGAACTTAGGATCTTTCCTAAGCCCAGTTTCTAAAGCTGCCTCGGGAGCTCCTTCCTCAAGTTCTTCTGAAGAGGAGGAGCTATGCCCACAACCCGAAAGGTTGGAGTTCACTTCCGACTATTCTCTCTCTCCATAATGGTTGGTGGAATATAAATGGCATGGTCCCCTACTACCTTTGATAGCGGTAGTGAGATCAGGCTTTAGAGAAATGGAAAGCCGATAGAGGGAAGTTTGGAGAACTCATGTCGAGGTATGAGTTGAGTTCTAACTTTCAATGAGTATATATAACTCCCTCAGGGAATGAATGGAATGTTTGAAAAAATTAAGGCACGCATGCATGATCATGATAAAGAAGATATGTGATGTTGGTAACTCACCCAAATCACCAGATGTTACATACCTTTTGGGATTCTCCCACACGCGCAATGCCTGGGGAGGTTTTGTTGGGTGTACTTTTAGTCACATACAAGTAAGTACATTGTAATAGACACTTGATCAATTAAAAGCATAGTTATAAGGCGAGTGTTTAACGAATACCAGATAGATATCTTGACCGACAAGGCATAAGATATGCGACTTCATAAGCATGATTCTTGATGATATTTGCAAAAATATGCCTCCGATATGATATGAAGATATGAATGATGATATGTCTAGGACTCGTCATATGAAGTCCTCAATGTGCCTTAGAGCCTTATTCTTCAGTCAACCCCTATATGTCGTGACTTACTACAGATAATAGCAGAGGGAATCAAGACATCTCAATATGGAACAGATTCTAGGATACATATATTTTTAAGGCTTATATATGTCTCTTCACAAGATATTTGATAAGATACCAATCAAACGTCGATCAAGCATGTTCATCTTGATTAACAATTGATGATAGGAGTTATCAAACTGATGTCAATGTGAGATAAATTCTACGAGACATACACTCCTATGGCTCCTATATACCTATCCATGTGATAGGTGGATGAATTTGATACGGAATGATGTTCTTGCCAATACATCGTGATTACACATGTGTATCGTGACTAATAATCGATGATAAGAGATTATGAAGTTGTTTCAACTTGAGACAAAACTCTGGGATACATACACTCCCATAGCCCATATATGCCTCTCCAAATGATAACTAGAGGAGTTTGATGAGATGCAATATGTCTCTTTCTTATCCGTCATTGGCCCAGGATGTAGTGCGTGCCAGATGGGGCATTACGAAACCTCATCATATAATAATATGGTGAGGTATATCCTTAAAGATCTATTATGAGGCCTCATATGCCTTAGGGTCCAAGAATTATACAAATAGAGCAATATTCGGAGTTGGTTTAAACTCAGCATCCATTTAACTCCTAGAAATCTGAATCCAAAGAACCAAATGGGTCCGTAGTCTTTTTGTGATATTGTCCATGTCCAGCCTTTCTAGTTCTCTATCAGTTTCATCTTTGGGAAATGGCATATATAGCGTTTTGTGTCAACATGTGGCATCTATAACCCAGCATAGATTTGATTGAGAATGGACTGAGCATGAGAGGGAGCATCGGTGGCTTAGAGACTAGCCAACCTTGTTGCCTTGAGCCTACTTACGACACAGAAACAGAAAAGCAATCATGAAATTGGTTTTCTGTGTAAAGGAGTTCATGAGAATCGGTGGTTTAGGGAGTATTCTTTCATGGACTTTGATGGACCAACCCGTTACCAATCATCAATCCCCCCTCTCAAATCCATTTAGTTCACATTGTTTGTCCTAAACTCCCTTTCAAGATCAACAGCTCTACATTCTATTTTTGACAAGCGTACTTCATTATATTGAATGGATAAAGGCTGCAACAAATCAAAACTCAAACAAATAAAGTTTATGACACAAACAGTCTCTCCAAAGAAACTCTTTTCTTAGCTAATGATCAATAATATCATTGGCCTGAACGAAACCTCTAACTGTACACAAATATCCACAATCTCCATCCACTTATCTCAGGTTCCACGGTGGTTTAGATACCTTGTTACATTGTTTTATAACATTTAAAGGGTCCCTTACAACATAAAAACAAAAAAAAGGTCCACAATTTCTTTACAATACCAAGTGTAAACCATGTAAAAGAGCTTCAAGTTTAGCACAATTGCCAGAAGCTATACCACAGGACCCATCATAGCAATAAATGACCTCCCCAAACAAGTCTCTTAGCACCCCGCCACAGCCAGCATGTCTCAGATTCCGCAAGAGCTACCCTCAAAATTTAACTTCACACAACGAAGCACTGAAGGTTCCCATCGCTCTTTCAATGTGACCTTAATTTTCTGCTTGAACAAATTGGAGAGATTAATAGCAACATTGATTCTCCCTTTCAATGTGACCTTGATAACCTTCTGCTTGAACAAATTAGAGGGATTAACAACTATATTAACTTTGGAAACACCAAAACCCACCGTAGTGATAGAGGATAACTCCATATAGTATGCAAGATCCTTCTCTCTACCATATCTACATACAAAAAGAAAACCCTGAAAAATTCTTCTATTCCTTTCCAACCACACGAATGGCTGCCTGTGTGATTTTCCATATCATATTCCCCTCAATAATTCTACATTCTTAGTCTCTCTAGAAACAGAATTATTCCCTTGTATTTTACTCACACATTTCCAGCCCTTGATTGCAATAAAAGCCTCTTCTATAGTTTTCCTACAAATTCCTTGGATATATATGTTGGATAGATATATCCTCCACTAAATAAAGAGTCTCTTTCAACACTCTCTCTCTTTCTCCTTCGGATCTTCCAGCACCGGGCATCTCCTCCAACCTTCTCGCACCAGGTAGGTGAGACTCTATACATCGTGTTACCAGTTCGCACAGACCTATGGTTTTAATAAACGCCGCTTTCCTAATTAAAAAAAATCTTTCTCTACACGCACACATGAACATGCTAGATTTAATAAAAGTTTAAGGCAATTAAATTACCAAGAAGACAGACTTCACCTACCCTAGCACACATCATTAAACTCTCTTTATAGGGTGCCTAACATAATCCCTCTGCCGAATTGAGCACGATTTGTCCTAGCTCGCATAACACAGAGCACCAACCTCTCTCTTCGCAGGATCCCTTACCTTCTCCCCCAATTGGTTCCCTGTTCTAAATTGACCTATTCTAGCTGGGCTTAATATATCATTAAATAATTTTTTAGAAAAAAGTAGTTCACAAACAATGATCCTTTCGAGAAAGAAAGCAACCCTTGTCCATTTATATTTAATGTCACATGTGCTTAGAATGCTGAGTTGTAAATTTTGTCGTTGCTTGGGGGAGGTTAAGAGGTCGCACATGTGATTAGTGAATAAAGCAAGTTGTAATGCCTAAGTCTTGTATAAAGAAAGGTCATTAAAGATAGATACCAAAAGCTCATAGAAAACTCACTAATGAAGAAAAACATCTTTGGAACGGTTAGGCGCTTTTACTTCTAAGAAGCAACAACGACCAACCATTCATTATTATTAACTATTCCTTAAAATAACAAGACGTGTATGCATGAGAGTGAGTGCTGGTAGCCAATTTCAAAATTTTAATCCAAATGTCCATGTAGAGAGAGAAAGAGGTGATACCCAACTTCATTATTTAGATTTTAGAGGGAGAGAGGTAGGACTCATATTCACTATTTAGATTTTAGAGAGATTTTAGAGAGAGAGTGGTCGTACCCAGCTTAACTATTTTATCTACATCTATCTCTCTCTATTCAAGGATTTCATATTTAAAAAAAAGAACATTGTTTCATGCAGTAAGGAACATTATTTCATGTGGGCTAGGCTGCATTTTTGTATATGCGGTCCAATATGTCTTAAAAATGGATGCAAATATATAGACCATCTAAAAACAATTAAAACTAACGGTCAAAAGTTTTCCTATTTTTAGTAGAATTATTATATCTAATTTTTTAAATTTATTTATTTTTCATATTCATGATCTCCATGTTAGTGATCACATATCCTTAAAAAATTAAGTCCCAAACCCATCTCAAAAAAAAATTTATTTAATGTCCCACACAATTCTACATGTGCGGGCTTGACCCGCATGCCAAGCTCATCCTCTTTATAATAAAAAAAAAAAGAATAAAAAAACGCACTCATTTTATGACTAAAAAAATAAAAGAAGAAGAAGTGATCAATAGTTGGGTAGACCGATGAACGTCAAGTCAGCCAACAGAAAAAAACAAGAAATCACAAAAAAGGGTGGATGGTTACAGGCACCAAAAGGTCATATCAATGGCTCAATACTTGGTTCAAAAATAAAATACGTTATATATAAAACATGGTAAAGGAAAAGCAATGCATGTGGGGGAATCAATTTCTCCCCAATTCTAATTCATATCCCATCATCATCCCTGTCTTTTGACCTCTTCCCGATTCCAAAATAGCAGACTCTACCTCCTATTATTTCCAGTCAGAAAACTTGAATGTTACAAAGCTTCTCTGATGAAAAGCAACGGTTTTTAGTTGTACCAAAGGCCACATAGAGATAAAGACTATATAATTGAGACCCCCAAAAGAATAAGAATGGAAAACCATGAGAAAGAGGCTCATCGGATGCTTGACTTAGCTCCTCGCATTGCCCACCTCACTGTTAAGGGGAGGCCCTAAACTCCATTTATGGTCGACTTTGCTGCAAATTCCGACACAATCTGGCGAGTCTGAGGCGCCGCTTTCAACAGTTGAGGAGTGCTCTGGGGACTTTTTGGTGGTGTAAGGTCCCATATTTGAGACCCTGCATCACAAGTCACACATGCTTTAATCTTAGAATTGATGCTGAACGAGTATTATAAGCTTTTCTATCATCACGAATACCAAGTGATAGGAAGACTTTTGAAAGTTAAGATTTGGGTACTGGAATCTACTTCTTGGAATTCTTTTTTTGAATAGGCATGACGATCCGAATTTTGTTCGAGACATTCTTTCATCTTGATGGGCCCAAAATAGCACCAATCAAGGGGTTCGAGACATTCTTTCATCTTGATGGGCCCAAAATAGCACCAATCAAGTGGGAATGAAAACGACACAAGTTTCACGATTTAAACCAATTGGTTAGCCACGAAATTTTTGAAATACATAAACAAATGAGGAGTTGTGGATATGTAATGGTGTCTTCTTTTATTGATAGATACATAAAAGTGGAAGGAAGCTGAATACTTTCAAGACACATGCACTCATTCAAACTGCATAATTTTCATTTTATTCCTTTGGTAGGTAAAGAAAAGTACAAAGATCACGTCAAGTTGCACAGCAAGCCGGTACTTTTTTTTAAAGAGAGGAGAATCCGTCTACTACTATCAAGTGTTACTTAAAAGTACTCAAACCAGTCCATGGAGGAGATAAACAACTGTTACACTGATGAAATATATAGGACTTAAAAAGCTGGGAAAAATGCACACCTTAACCATCCATAGATAACTAAGGATGGTAGATGGGCCTCATGAGTAACTTTCACAAAGTCCTCAGGGGTTCCCAAAAGAACATTTTTCTTCATCGATAAAGGCTACATAGATAATTGAGAAAATTACCTTTCCTTGCGTTTCTCCAAGAACCGAGCGAGAGATGCTTTCCTTGCCTGTGGAACCGCTGCTGCAGTAAGGGAGGATATGCTTAGAAACTGAATTTCATTTTCTTTGATCTATTCTTTTCTATAATCTTTTTCCTAGCTGGGGGAAGGTACAATTTTTCAGCATAATAAGAAGAGTGCAAAAGAAATTCACCTCTTGCATTCAGCGCTGCAGGAGTCTGTTTTGGTGGTTCTTGGTGGTTGCTAGGAGCTAAGGACGAAATGGTTTTGACCGCAACCAGGTCACTGCTCGAGTGAGCAGCTGCCTGCAATTGCGACGTCGCAGACATTGGGCTTGAAAGGCCAGAGCAGGTCGGCATAGCTGAGTTGCTAGGAATCCCCTCAACAGTTGCTATAGGCAACGATGGCACTTGGGTTCTAGAATTTGGAGTCTTAACAGATTGGTTAGCCCCATTAGCAGCCAAGAACATAATTGCTTGAGCCTGCAAATAAATAAAACAAGTACAATATATAGTAAGAGAACAAGAAACCAAATTCGTAGTTTTGTGTAGAACACAAAGATAAAGAAAACAAATGTTAGGTAATTCAGTAACAAAGTAAAGTACTTGTTTAAAACATAGATAAAACCTAAGAGAAGGAAAGAATCAGGACCCGAATTTTAAAACTTGATATCTTAAAAAATAAGTACCCTTACGCAGAAGGTATTACTTACACTATAATTACACATCGAAGAAAAAAGGAAAGGAGAAGGGAACATAGTCATCTAAAGCCCGATTACCTTCTCTAAAGGAATGTCATCGTAAACATTCACTGAACCAGCATAAAATATGGTCAACTGAGCAGCTGAGGAAGCAGGCTTCGCCAGCGTGCATGGAACACTCCTGCATCATCAACTACTTAAGAGTGTTCCATTTCACTTAAAGTTATTTAAGATCTGAATTTTGAGAGAGAGAGAGACTTCACTTCATCACTACCTTGGTAGAAAAGACCCAGCCAGAGTTCCCACAGAAGAGGTAACAGGATGCTGAGACGTGACAGGAATCCCTCCAAAAGATTTCACTGAACTGGGATTACCAGCTCCACCATGCATCTTGAAGAACGGGCTGCTCATAGAGATTGGGATTGAATGGCTGGAGAGCGGCAGTGTTCCTATGCCCTGAGAATGGTGGGATATGGAACCCTGCTCAATGGCGGCTTGAGAAGGATACGGCATGCAAGACATGCCATACTGGCTATGTGATTTTGTGATTGGAGCACCATTTGTTTCCAAAGTGAATCCCTTCTAAGGAGATCAACCAAAAGAAATAAAAGGAACATTAGAGGTGAACAAAGGGGGATCAAAATTCAACCCTCAGAAAATGAATAAAAGAAAAAGATTGGGTTTTGGGTTTTATACTTGGGTTGCAGTTGGTGCTCTGTGGTTTGTCTCATAAGCACCTGCAGTTGATATGGGCTGAAACCCAGACGAGGCTAGCTGGTCAAACACGACTTTCTTGTGTCTATCCTCTTGGGCACCTTTGAAAGACATGAATTGTTGAAGGGCAGATGCGTTGATGGAGAAAGGCCATTGCATTCCATTTGCCATGGATGCTGTATCCGAAGAAGATATAGAAATGATTAACCAGTGTAAAAAACACAAAAGAGGATGGTTCAGACAAAATCAAATCACTAGGAAACGGCACATGGACGGCCATCAGTTCCAGATCCATGGAAGATATGAAAGACAATTTGTTTTTGAGTTATCCTGTGTGTAGGGTAAGGTCCTTATCTCATTTGGGGGCAGTCAAATAGGTTGAACAAGACAATAAACTAAGCAAAGTAAAAACTATTTCTTTTTTATCAGAGTTCAAATTGTATGCTCTACGAAGAAACAACGACCATGATACAATTGACGGCTAAACCTGCTACATGAAAGCACATCCATAATGAATAGGAACAAGGCAGGGAAAGAAACTGAGCGCCTTTGCTAGAGAGAGACCCAGATCTAAAATTCACAACCACTAGCTTATATTTTTGTTTCAACATGATTTTTGATGTATAAGGTAAGGAAACAGTGGAAAAATTTAAAGAGGGGCCATCAGAATTTTCTCATGAACTGAATTAGAGAACAGAAAATAGAATAAGAATTTTCTTATTACATCAATTCGTTGATATCCAGATAAAAATACCAACAATAGATTTTCCCAAAAAAAAAAAATGAACACCAAACAACTTCAAAAGATAGGAAATACCCAATAATGCACAAAAAACAGAAAGTCTTACAGGTAACTAGATAATTTGAGAAACAAACTAAAAACACAAGGTAAACCTGGTTAATTAGAAAGTAGAACACAAAAATGTGAAGGCAAAACGCACAATTTGTTTTACTTTTCCCAAAGAAAACAGAAAAGTTAATCACCCAATTCCTTGCTGCAACTTATCCAATAACACAAACAAAAAGCTCAAAGACAAAAGCAGAATTTCACACTAATACAAGTCCCGACTTTATATCCTCAGATCCCCACGGTCTCAGAAGAAACATACAACTGAAATTGACAGTGAAAATCAACAAACAAATCAATCTATCCATACCTGAATCCTTCACCGATGTGTTGAATTGACCAAAATCGTTGACTGTAAAACCTTTATAGAAATCCTCTCTCTCTTTTGCCTCGTCTTTCACTACGGGATTCAAACCAAAAAAGTCCCTCGCCACCTTTGGTTCTCTCTCCATCTCCCCAAAATCTCAAACAAACTCCAGAAAACCCAAAAACCTTCAACAAAACAAATCAAGAAAACCCTAGCTTCCTTTAAACCAGAGAGAACCCTAAGCCACGTCCTCCTCCTTCCTGATAACCCAAAAATACAGAAAAAGATATCTCATAAACCCTAGAAAATAGGTGAAAACTTTTATGTTTCTGATTATTTCCTTCTTTCTCTCTCTGCAAATCCCAAAACCATGAACACCATATCCTCAAAGAAACAGAGGCCCTGCATTTTTATAGCAAGCTAGTTAGGCCACCCAAGTTTTCTCATAATCCACCCAAAAGAATTAAGAAATGGGTAAATAAATGAATTCCACATTATTTCCACCCATTTTTGGGTGGAAATATCAAATAAAAAATATTGATTACAAAAATAGGGGATTCAGGTTTATCAAACCCTCAATCTGAGCCGTTGAATGGTAGATCGAGCGGCTAATGGGTGCAAGGCCGGGGTCACCAACAATCTGGACCGTTCAATGGGTAGATCGAGCTGCTAACTACCGGGTGTCCCAGTCAAAAGCCCACGTGCGTAGGGCTTTTCCGGTCACCAACACCGCCCTCCACTCATCCCTTATCCACACATGCTATGTCCAGGTGTCGGTGACCAGATCTGGGCCCCACACTTATTTTCACGTGGGAAAAGGTTTCCATGGAATGCTCCCGATATTTTATATAATTCCATGGGTAACCTCGGTGCGTTTCTCTTTTCGGAAAATTCCGGCGCGATTCCCTCGTGCCTCGCTAACTTACTCATTATGCCACTATCGCTTTTATTTTAAATATTGCCAAAAGATATTCTACTGCCGCGAGAGTAGAATGTCCATTTACTCTATCATGCTTAGAATTAATTTTAAGCCTCAAAATTTTTGGTATGCAACCTCTTTAATAGGTAGATCAATTTTAATAAAAAAAATTTCCTAATTGTACCCGCTATGCACTTGAAAAAAATAATGTCTCTAGATTTAATAGAGATTATCCAATTTTTAGATGGTTAGATTTAAGTGTTAGAAAACACAAATTAAAAAAAACACACCGAAAAGAGAAACGCACCGAAAGGAGTTCTAAAAATTTAGAAAAAAAGAGAAAAAAATCTAGCAATTCTTAAGGAGTTCTAAAAATTTTAGATTGGAAAAATATTTGTAAGTAGTCTCTCTTCTTAAGGGAGTAGAAATAAACTATGCTACGAAAGAGCATATTGTAAGTGCTCATGAATATTTATGCGAGTATTGCTTTTATTATTCACAAAATGTAACCTTCTGAACCCACCTCTTCAGTATGCCTTGCATTAAAAAAAAATGATTGGTGTATGAAGCATGGACTTGAGTAAAAAAATAAAAATAAAATATTAAATGTTGGGGTTGTTGGATGATTTTCCACTTGACTTTAATGGCCCCCTACCGAAGAGGCATTAGTGCATACCAATTTTTATTTAAATCATTTATTCGGATCGGAATCTCGCTATTTAGATCAACTCTCAAGGGTACGAAGCTGGTTCTTTGGATATATCCTAAAACAGGCAGTTCCTGTTAGGAACTGCCTAATTCCTAGCAGGGAACCAGTTGATCGGACCGCATTTTTTTTTAGTATTTTTTTTTTTTCTCTCTTTTTATTGATTTTCATATTGGCCTATGTCTCTTGGCCATATCCCTAAGTGGATTGATGATTCGCCGACCCGAGCCAGTTTCTCATATGGCTAGTTCATCTTGCCGATCTTGGTTTTTAAACATTGGTGCAAACAAATAATCCCTGTATAAGAAAAGAGCCTAGGCTTAATTGGTTAACGCTTGACAATTTGCAACACTACGTCCTAGGCTCAATTCCTATGAAAGGTAGGGGCCCTCTCCCCCATTAACTCATCCAAAAAAGGAATTCTTGTGTAAGTCCCTTATCAAAATATAATTTTTAAAAATTTATTTTTTGAAATCAGTTAAAAATTAAGAATTTTAAAAAAGATCTTAAAAAAATAGGTTTTCTTCATAGAACCTATACATATGTGTTTTTTTATCTTTTGAAAAACTAATTTATGAAAAATTATTTTCTATATATGGCTTTCTTGAAACTTCCTTCTCTTTATCGATTTGATATTTTTGAATTTTTTGAAATCCACTAGAAAATGTGACTTCTACAAAAGATATTAAAAAATTGTGTGGTTTCTATAAGGTTGCAGCCTTAAACAATCCAATTAAGGTGCACCTCCAAATTTTATCATAACATGTAATTTTGGTGTAAAACATTCTTAAAATATACTTGTGGAAATATTGAAAATGAACGGTCTAGATAATGTGTTGTAAGATGCACTATTTATAGGACTTAAAATCTTTTTTCTTTTTTTCCATATTCATGCATCTCGATGTCAAGATGCTCAATTAAAGGGTTTTTTAACATTAAAGCAACATTTTCCGATGATTTTTTAGGTCCATCTTTAATTCTACATTTTAAAGTTGCAACCTTATATAAACTTTTTTCTTAAAAAAAAAAAACAGGTCTTCTTCATAGAACCTATACATATGTGTATTTTCATATTTTGAAAAACTAGTTATGAAAAATTCTTTTCTATATATGACTTTCTTGAAACTTCCTTCTCTTTAATGATTTGATATTTTTGAATTCTAGTTTTGAGATAATATGTGGGATGAAATAAAGAACCTTGATTTAAACAAAGGAAAAAGTTTCTATAGAGCCGAGGCTCTAAACAATCAAATTAGAGCTCACCTCAAAAATTTCACTAGAAAATATTGTTTTGATGCTCAAATATCCTCAAGTTGATCATCTCGGCATCAAGATGCATGGACATGAGAAAAAAATGGATTTCAAATTTTGGAAATAGTCCATCTTGTAACGCATTTTTGGACCGTCAATTTTCAAGATTTTTAATTTTTCATAGATATGCTCATTGTATACTATTTTTTAAACTTTAAAATTTATATGTAAAGATGAAAATATATTCTAAGGCTATCACAAAAAAATTAATATTGAAACCACATTTCTCGATACTATTTAAAGGTGCCCTTTACTTTGATTGTTTAGAGCCTCGGCTTTATAGAAACCGCACCCTTTAACAAAAGGCCCCCATTAGAATTTTCACCAACACTGTCCTTGAAAACGTATCCGTTAAAAAATTGGTATTCCTAAAACAAAATAAGGAATTGGAAAATCTTGTTTTCCAGCATTATTGCAAGGAGGAAGTGAGAGAAAATTAGCCACAATTTTAGATTTTAGGCAATTGAGAATTTGGGATGCAATTATGTGTTTGGGTTTACTTATACATATTATTTACTACAAGTTTTTATTGTTACTTTTCTTCTATATGCATAAGTTGACTTTCATTGCTTTTAAACTTTTTGTTATGGGATTGTATACCATGAGATCATTTACTCTTGATACAAAGTGGTCACAATTACTTACAACCATCCGATATGAAATTTGTTAGCTTGGGTTTATCACAAAGTTCAAAAAAATTTCTTTTGAAGTTTGAGCATGATCAATAGAATAAATGTAGCCACCAAATTTCACATCCAATGATCAAGATTAATTGCGATTATCTTGTATTAAAGGTAAATGGTCTCATTGTATACTTTTCTTTTTGTTATTAATTGATGTATACAATACCCTATCTTGAAAGGCACATGTTTTAATATTTATTTATGTATTTTTTTTATTTATTTTGTGTTTTTATTAACAACAATCCTACATCAAGAATTTTTTTTTTCTAAATAATAATCCTATACCTCGGGGTTGCACTTCTTATTTGTTAAAATATTTGCAGTGTTAGTATAGTGGTTGTTTCATTATATGCTCCAAATAAAATCATTCTCTCATGAGCGTAGAGAAAACATTTTTGTTGTGTTCAGAGAAAACTTAGACCAATAATTTTTCAAGTAAATAATACTAAGGAAGACCATAGAATTATTGGTAATCACATTAATGTATTCTAGCAATTATCACAAATCAGAATTTTAGCTTATGTTATCTTTACACGTTTATTTTTCTCTCTTTGTTTTCTGAGTCAAATTTGAAACATTCATAATTCTTAAATTTAACTAATTTTTTATGATTTGTACTTTTTTTTCCCTGATTTTTTGCCTTCAACTCTTTGAACCAAAAGTAAATTTTTACCAATCTTCTAATATGTCAATATAGGTATATTGTTATTAAGGTGAATCTTATTATTATAATTATTATTTAATAAATATTACTTGATATTATTGATAAATAAAACCAATAATGTTAAGGAGAATCTTAGTTTGAGGGGGCAACTCATCCTTATTCCATACAATTATTCTTATTAGTTGGCTATTTAGGAATTGGGTTGCTAGAGCAAGAAGGGCTTCTCTTTCTCAATCTTAGGGCTCTTATGTGATGAGTGGCTAGAAGAAAATAGAAAATTTTATCAAAATATCCATGCGAGATACACTAACATTTTACCGATTGGTCACTTCATTATATGTATTTTGATAGGCATTTTGAAATTAAATCAATCTATATGCAAAAATATTTAATACTTAAACTCTCATAGACATTTGATTAGGGGTGGCAACGAGTTGAATATGGGTCGGGTCCGATTGAATCTAGACCTAGACCCGAATAGTATTCGGGTCCATCTTTTAGACCCAGAACCGATTAGTCGAGTCCTAGGTCTATCCCGTTGGGTCACATGTATGATCGGATCCATTGCCACCTTCACTATGAGTTTTTTTTTTTTGACTATTTTTTTACCATCATATACTTATATTATTGGCAACAAAATCACAATCACCGACAAATAGATTTCAAGTCATTTGATTTGTCGTATAATAGTTAAAGATGACTATGAGTTCTTATTGTATATGATCCTTAGTACACTCCAAACGAATAGGTCTTAAAATATTTTATCTTCAATAGTTTATGAGTACGGGGCAGATATGGTTCAGGTCCAACCATAACCTAAATAGAATTCGGGTCCATGTTTTGGACCACCCAACCTGCCTGCCAAATGGTGGCTTTATAACCCCACCCGTGTCTCTTACACCTGACGGGTCCCCGGTCGGATCCCGATTGGTTCCCACCCCTAATTTTGATAAAATTTTCCTTAGAAAATATTAGCCATCACGTGCGGCTAAATTTACCCCATTAGAGGAGATGTAAACGTACAAAAAGCTTATATCCTGGCTTACAAGCAGTGCAACAACGAGGTCCAAATGTTTGTTTCCAGGGGTAGTTCCGTCCATAGATTTTGCTCTCTCTCTAACGAGGGTGAGAGAGAGCATTTTATTATCTC